TACACTAAAGGTCCACCTAAAAAATGGTGATCCTGAAGCATAATAAATATTCTCCTCTTCTTGAACATCAATACACACTCTATAAGGCTATCCCCATATAGAATATGCTAGCTATGTCATGCACACATTAGATCCCTACTAAATCCCCAAAATTGCAAGCACTTATGTACAAATTAATTAGTATATCTGGTATCATACTTCCTGTGAGTCTATTTTTTTAATTTTATTGCACTTTGCTTTTACAATTAACTAGTATATTTGATATCATATACGGATTCAAATCTCTTAGTGATTTTATATATCACCCACTGTCTTGATTAACAATAGTATGATAGAACTGAATGAACACTCAATCTAAAAAATAGATTAAGCTCATTTAAGTTCGACATATTATCGCACATGTTTTCAGGACTCATTATTTGGTTGTAACATTTTTTTTTTGGTAGGTGGTTGTAACATTTTTTATATGCTCTCTTCTTGGGAAATATTTTCTATTGTCCAGAATCACCTAATAACTTAGTGCTCCCTCTCACAATACCAATTTTTTCCCATTTTATCCCTGCTATTTTCTTTTTTTTCCAATTTTACCCTTCCATTTACACTAAAGGTCCACCTAAAAAATGGTGATCCTGAAGCATAATAAATATTCTCTTCTTCTTGAACATCAATACACACTCTATAAGGCTATCCCCATATAGAATATGCTAGCTATGTCATGCACACATTAGATCCCTACTAAATCCCCAGAATTGCAAGCACTTATGTACAAATTAATTAGTATATCTGGTATCATACTTCCTGTGAGTCTATTTTTTTAATTTTATTGCACTTTGCTTTTACAATTAACTAGTATATTTGATATCATATACGGATTCAAATCTCTTAGGGATTTTATATATCACCCACTGTCTTGATTAACAATAGTATGATAGAACTGAATGAACACTCAATCTAAAAAATAGATTAAGCTCATTTAAGTTCGACATAATATCCCACATGTTTTCAGGACTCATTATTTGGTTGTAACATTTTTTTTTTGGTAGGTGGTTGTAACATTTTTTATATGCTCTCTTCTTGGGAAATATTTTCTATTGTCCAGAATCACCTAATAACTTAGTGCTCCCTCTCACAACACCAATTTTTTTCCCATTTTATCCCTGCTATTTTCTCTTTTTTCCAATTTTACCCTTCCATTTACACTAAATGTCCACCTAAAAAATGGTGATCCTGATGCATAATAAATATTCTCCTCTTCTTGAACATCAATACACACTCTATAAGGCTATCCCCATATAGAATATGCTAGCTATGTCATGCACACATTAGATCCCTACTAAATCCCCAAAATTGCAAGCACTTATGTACAAATTAATTAGTATATCTGGTATCATACTTCCTGTGAGTCTATTTTTTTAATTTTATTGCACTTTGCTTTTACAATTAACTAGTATATTTGATATCATATACGGATTCAAATCTCTTAGTGATTTTATATATCACCCACTGTCTTGATTAACAATAGTATGATAGAACTGAATGAACACTCAATCTAAAAAATAGATTAAGCTCATTTAAGTTCGACATATTATCGCACATGTTTTCAGGACTCATTATTTGGTTGTAACATTTTTTTTTGGTAGGTGGTTGTAACATTTTTTATATGCTCTCTTCTTGGGAAATATTTTCTATTGTCCAGAATCACCTAATAACTTAGTGCTCCCTCTCACAACACCAATTTTTTTCCCATTTTATCCCTGCTATTTTCTTTTTTTCCAATTTTACCCTTCCATTTACACTAAAGGTCCACCTAAAAAATGGTGATCCTGAAGCATAATAAATATTCACCTCTTCTTGAACATCAATACACACTCTATAAGGCTATCCCCATATAGAATATGCTAGCTATGTCATGCACACATTAGATCCCTACTAAATCCCCAAAATTGCAAGCACTTATGTACAAATTAATTAGTATATCTGGTATCATACTTCCTGTGAGTCTATTTTTTTAATTTTATTGCACTTTGCTTTTACAATTAACTAGTATATTTGATATCATATACGGATTCAAATCTCTTAGTGATTTTATATATCACCCACTGTCTTGATTAACAATAGTATGATAGAACTGAATGAACACTCAATCTAAAAAATATATTAAGCTCATTTAAGTTCGACATATTATCCCACATGTTTTCAGGACTCATTATTTGGTTGTAACATTTTTTTTTTGGTAGGTGGTTGTAACATTTTTTATATGCTCTCTTCTTGGGAAATATTTTCTATTGTCCAGAATCACCTAATAACTTAGTGCTCCCTCTCACAACACCAATTTTTTCCCATTTTATCCCTGCTATTTTCTCTTTTTTCCAATTTTACCCTTCCATTTACACTAAAGGTCCACCTAAAAAATGGTGATCCTGAAGCATAATAAATATTCTCCTCTTCTTGAACATCAATACACACTCTATAAGGCTATCCCCATATAGAATATGCTAGCTATGTCATGCACACATTAGATCCCTACTAAATCCCCAAAATTGCAAGCACTTATGTACAAATTAATTAGTATATCTGGTATCATACTTCCTGTGAGTCTATTTTTTTAATTTTATTGCACTTTGCTTTTACAATTAACTAGTATATTTGATATCATATACGGATTCAAATCTCTTAGTGATTTTATATATCACCCACTGTCTTGATTAACAATAGTATGATAGAACTGAATGAACACTCAATCTAAAAAATATATTAAGCTCATTTAAGTTCGACATATTATCCCACATGTTTTCAGGACTCATTATTTGGTTGTAACATTTTTTTTTTGGTAGGTGGTTGTAACATATTTTATATGCTCTCTTCTTGGGAAATATTTTCTATTGTCAAGAATCACCTAATAACTTAGTGCTCCCTCTCACAACACCAATTTTTTCCCATTTTATCCTTGCTATTTTCTCTTTTTTCCAATTTTACCCTTCCTTTTACACTAAAGGTCCACCTAAAAAATGGTGATCCTGAAGCATAATAAATATTCTCCTCTTCTTGAACATCAATACACACTCTATAAGGCTATCCCCATATAGAATATGCTAGCTATGTCATGCACACATTAGATCCCTACTAAATCCCCAAAATTGCAAGCACTTATGTACAAATTAATTAGTATATCTGGTATCATACTTCCTGTGAGTCTATTTTTTTAATTTTATTGCACTTTGCTTTTACAATTAACTAGTATATTTGATATCATATACGGATTCAAATCTCTTAGTGATTTTATATATCACCCACTGTCTTGATTAACAATAGTATGATAGAACTGAATGAACACTCAATCTAAAAAATATATTAAGCTCATTTAAGTTCGACATATTATCCCACATGTTTTCAGGACTCATTATTTGGTTGTAACATTTTTTTTTTGGTAGGTGGTTGTAACATATTTTATATGCTCTCTTCTTGGGAAATATTTTCTATTGTCAAGAATCACCTAATAACTTAGTGCTCCCTCTCACAACACCAATTTTTTCCCATTTTATCCTTGCTATTTTCTCTTTTTTCCAATTTTACCCTTCCATTTACACTAAAGGTCCACCTAAAAAATGGTGATCCTGAAGCATAATAAATATTCTCCTCTTCTTGAACATCAATACACACTCTATAAGGCTATCCCCATATAGAATATGCTAGCTATGTCATGCACACATTAGATCCCTACTAAATCCCCAAAATTGCAAGCACTTATGTTCAAATTAATTAGTATATCTGGTATCATACTTCCTGTGACTCTATTTTTTTAATTTTATTGCACTTTGCTTTTACAATTAACTAGTATATTTGATATCATATACGGATTCAAATCTCTTAGTGATTTTATATATCACCCACTTTCTTGATTAACAATAGTATGATAGAACTGAATGAACACTCAATCTAAAAAATAGATTAAGCTCATTTAAGTTCGACATATTATCCCACATGTTTTCAGGACTCATTATTTGGTTGTAACATTTTTTTTTTGGTAGGTGGTTGTAACATTTTTTATATGCTCTCTTCTTGGGAAATATTTTCTATTGTCGAGAATCACCAATTTTTTTCTCATTTTATCCCTGTTATTTTCTCTTTTTTCCAATTTTACCCTTCCATTTACACTAAAGGTCCACCGAAAAAATGGTGATCCTGAAGCATAATAAATATGTAGTAAAGACAAAAAAATAATAATAATAGAAATTAAAAATTCAAGAAAAGGAAACATGATGTATTCATGCAGTTCTTTTTTGGTAATCTTATTCATGCAGTTCTTTACTTTCTCTTCAACATACACGACTAGATTATAATTAAGGATCTAAACAACAAACTAAAAGCAATTCAGTAAAAGTTTTAAAATTAGACGAATAAACATGGCTGATTTCACCATGCTATATACTAACATTAGTTTCATTTAAAGGTAAATACGATGGGTACAATTAAAAAACTAATTTAACATAATAAAATTAGAATTTAGAAATTTAAGAAAAACCAACATAATGTATTCATTCATATCATTATTTTCTCTTGTATATACTTAGCTATAAGGATCTAAACAACACACTAAAAGCAGTTTAATGAAAATTTGAAAATTACATCAGTAAAGAAGACTTATTGCACTGTACTATCTATTGAGGACAACATTAAAAATGATGGCTCTAGATAAATGAAAACTAAGCACAAAATCACTCTCAGAATAACCTTACATTTGTCATTTGTTACATGGGACAAACATCTCTATTAAATTAACCAAGACATTGCAACATATCTTCATATCTCTCAGGAATGATGTTGTACCTGCCAAAAATTAGGGGGGGGTAAGACAACATCGTAGTGTTTTATGGATAAATATAGATCCCAAACCCCCCCAAAAAAAAAAAATTTGCATTTTGAAACATAATATTTATATGTGCATAGTAAGTAAGCAATGCATCATTAACCATTATGTGAGATATAAAAAACCTTACCTGCTAGTCTTGGACTCTGAATTTCGTTTTCATTCTGGCAGTAAAGACAACTAGTGACACATACATCCAATCATACATGTTGTTGAAGAAGCGAAAGTAGGCATGTCTCCATGATGTTTTTATCAATAAAGTTCCACAAACTCCCCAAAATCCAACACAGAATCCAAATCCAAGGCAGATGTAAAACCCGATGGTTATGAGTTCATCTTCGTCTTCATTAGTGCCATTTTTGTCAGTGCTTCCAGTTGTTGAAACCACATCCCCTGGGCAATGGTTTGTGAGTGGTGAGCCACAAAGCCCATTGTTCCCTTCATATGTAGAGGCATCAAAGGATTGCAGTTGAGTGCTTACGGGAATTTTCCCTGACAAGTTGTTGCAAGACAAGTTCATGTAACTGAGAAAAGTCAAATTAGAAAAGCTTGATGGCATTCTACCATAGAGATGGTTTTTTGACAAGTCAAGTGATTCCAACATTTGCATATGACCAATGTTGCTTGGAATGACACCTGTGAGATTATTTTCTGAAAGATTTAAGCCAGCTAATGCCACAAGCATTGTCATACTTTGAGGTATCTCTCCTGTTAAGTGGTTGCAAGATAAATCAATGCTTGTCATAAGCCCAAGAATTTTCCCATATTCTCTGTCTTTTCCTTTCCATGCCAATGTTGCTTCGTCAAAGAAAACAAATTCCTCACTATAATAATTAAAATATCTACTTTTGGTATAGAGCATAGTTTTTCTTGGAAACTTGGAATTTGACAAAGCAATTATATGACCGAGGCATTGTGGTATTTCCCCTGCAATTTTGTTTTCTGAGAGATCCAATACTTGAAGAAATAATAGATTACAAAGACTTGCTGGTATGTTTCCCTCAAAATTGTTTGCCCCTAGACGCAAAACAATCAAATGATGCAAGTTATGACCAACCCAAGTAGGTAATGATCCTTCCAAATTGTTATCTCCAAAATCAATGAATGTCAATTTGCTACAAAGAGCCAAAGATGGAATTTCACCAGAGAATTCATTGTTATTTAAATGAATCCTCCCAATTTGTTGCAAAGAGCCAAATGAGTTGGGTATTCTCCCTGAGAAATTATTGTTTGCCAGATTCAGAACTTCTAACCTTTGAAATTTTCCCCAACAATCCGAAAGTGGCCCAGCTAGTAAGTTACGAGACAGGTCAAGAATAGTTAAATACAATGGTGGCGTTGTACAAAATGAAGATAGGGACTCTTGAAACATATTATTTGAGAGAATTAGAGTCCCTATGTTTTCTGGAAAATGAGGTATGGAACCAGTCAAATTGTTGAAACTAAAATCCCATGTACCTGGTGGTGATGATGGTTCCATATTTGGTAGCGATTTTGGCAAGATTCCACTAAGTTTGTTATGTGAAGCATTCAAGTAAAACAAACTTGAGGATTGGTCCCAAAACCATTGAGGAAACGAATCTGAAATACCACTATTAGAGATTTCCAGCTCCCCAAGTTTCGTTTGATGTTTGAGCCATGCCGGAAAATTAGGACCCAAAGTGCACCACGAAGCAAATAATCCATGCAGTTGGAAAGGTGGAATCCAATCTGAACTCAAGTTGAACGAAATTGAATTGTGAGACACATCCAAAATTTTCAAACTAGATAGATTTGATAGATGTGCTTCACTAATGACACCATTCAACTCAATTGAAGAAAGATATAATCCCTTAAGACTAGAAAGTTTCCCAATAGTATATGGAAGTGTCCCTTTCAACTGATTAAAGGAAAGATCCAAATATTCTAAAGAGGCAAGATTAGTAACTTCGAATATTGGCAGTGATCCACTTAGTTGGTTAAAACTTAAATTTATATCTCTGAGGACCTTGCTAACATTAAGCACCCATGACAAAATTGAAGAGTCTAACTCATTGTGTGAAAGACTGAGGGTTTTGAGAGAAGTGGAAGAATTCAGGTGGGGAATAGTTCTAGGATTGACTTGACCGAGCCCACAATCATCTAAATGAAGCTCCAATAGAGAAGGGATTTTGCTAATTGATGATAGCCAATCAACAGCTCCACTATGAGTAGTATTTAAAAGACCAAGGCGTCTCAAATTAGAGAGGTGAGAAATCCATTCAAGGTCATTTGAAACCAAATCATTATACCCAAGGAAAAGAGTTTGCAAATTGGAAAGGTTCCCCAAGGTAGGAGGAATGACACCAACAAGTTCATTATGTCTAAGGTCAAGAATTTGGAAATTGGAAAGGTTCTCGAGAGTAGGAGGAATGAGACCAACAAGTTTATTACGCCTAAGGTCAAGAGTTTGCAAATTGGAAAGATTCCCCAAAGTAGGAGGAATGACACCAACAAGATCATTTCGTCTAAGGTCAAGAGTTTGCAAGTTGGAAAGGTTCCCCAAATTAGGAGGAATGACACCAAAAAGTTCATTTCGTGCAAGTTTCAAGTCTATTAATTGACCAAGTGAACCAATGCAGTTTGGGATCTTTCCTTCCAAGTAATTAGAACTGAGGTTTAAGGAAGTCAGATGTTTCAGTTCACATATTGAAGAATCTATCTTACCTTGCAGTCTTGCATAATAATCTGAAGATTGGAGATCCAACATGGTTACATGACCTGTTAAATCATCGCATGAAATTCCTTTCCATTTGCAACAATATTCACCTTTCCATGAGGAAAGACTGTCCCTTCCATTAGTGAAACCAGCTTTTAGCTTGAGAAGAGCTTGCCTTTCTGTCTCCTCACAGTTCTTCATATGGGAACTTCCAACACAGAAACAGATGCATAGAATGCCCACCATACAAAAAAAGAGAATGAACCTACAGTGAAACATGGTGATCAACTCAACTCTCATGGGATTGTGTTTGGATTTTAAAACTGATCAAGAACGTATAGTAAACATGTACTTTGAATTCTGAAATGAAAGCTGGCTAGTGCCATTTATAGACAGCAATCAAAAGAAGCTAAATCACATGTCTGATTTTCTAGTATTAAAGTTTCTTTGCTTGCCCAATATCAAAATTCATGTAGACTTCTAGTCAACCTGAAAAATTACATAATATATTGCGGCTATTGCTTAGTATTATATATATATATATATATTGATGAAAGTGTATCACTTTAAGCCAATGAAAGATGGCCCCTTGTGTCGATCGTGCTCTCTGCTTTCAACCTAACTAATTAAACTTGAGGGAGGGAAGACTTTTGTTCAAAATAGCAATGCGTGATGCATCATTATGTGTAGCATGTGTGTGTGAGGTTACCTTTTATAGGTGATTATGTGTGAGATGAGATGCCGGAAGGTTAGTTAATGCTGTGGTTGGTGATGACATGCTGTGATGAGAATTTTTGGGGATTGTCTACGGAGATTGAATAATGTTAGGCATCTAATGTAGTTTAATGTATAACTTTAAGCCAAACCAATGAAGATAGTCCCTTGTGTCGATCGTGCTCTCTACCTTCAACTCAACTAAACTTGACCGAGGGAAGACTTTTGTGCAAAAAGCAATGTGTTATGTGTAAGATATATATTAAATCATTAATGTAGTCTCACCTAATAGTTTAAGCTCTTGAGTTGAATTGATTCTTTATATGATATCAGAGCCTCGGTATCACGTGTTCGAATTAAGTTTTGTGGAATTTCTTAAGACAAATAGGTGAACCTGTGCATTATTCACCTTTTAAGCCCAGTGGACTCTTGTGTGAGAGGACGTGTTAAAGATATATAAAATCATTAATGTAATCTCACCTAACAGTTTAAACTTTTAGGTTGAATTGATTCTTTATATTATGCATCATTACTCCCTCCTCTTCTCGTCCCAAGTGTCCCTTCTAGTCAACTGACATTGCATAAAAAAATGTCAGCTCACGGAAAGTAATTTATTGTGATTTTAGTTTATTATTATATTGATGATTGTGTATTTCTACTAAGATTGTAATCAAGGAGCAAGACTTTGTGTGCAATAAAGCAAAGCGTGACTTTAGTTTATCATTATGTTCCTCCTTTTTCCAGTGATGCATCCCCAACAACACTATATGCTCCTTCCCCTCTTCTTCTTAACACAAGTACATAATCCACTCATTTTGTTTATTTAAAAAAAAAAGCGACAAAATGGCATTCCAATGTGTCTATGCAGTATATAAAGAATCAATTCAGCCCAAAAACTTAAGCTAATAGGTGAGGCTACATTAATAATTTTATATATATCTAACATGTCCCCTCACACAAGAGCTCATTGGGCATGAAGGATGGATAATGCAAAGGTCCACCTACTTGTGCTAAGAAATTCCACAAGAGAAAGTGGGGGGCGGTGAGAATCGAACTCGGAATATGAGGCTCTTAAACCATGTAAAGAACCAATTCAACTAAAAGGTTAAGCTATTAGGTGAGGGTCTCTTTAATAATTTATATTATACTTGTAACATCCCGGGCGCTGACGAGGGCGAGGAGTGATCGCCGGTGCGAAAGGGTATGGACAAGGAGCGACTCCTGGCAGGCTTCCAGCGACGGAGGTACATGAATAAATCGAATCAACACCCGAAAAAGAGGGATTCCAAAGACTGAGCTGGTATGGGACAGTACAGTTGGGAATGGCTTATAAGAATTAATTTGTACTACTTATACTAACAAGATACATCTTCTTTTCGGTAGCCTGGAATGGAAGAACTCCATAGTTAAGCGTGCTTGATTTGGGACAATTCTGGAATGGGTTACCTCCTGGGAAGTTTTCTCGGAAAGTGTGCGAGTCGAGGAAGATCAGACAAGTGATTCAATAAGAATTTTCCAATTTCCACCCATTTTTAATGCTTTAGTAAATATGCAGATCAATCTAGATTGTGAGGCAAGTAAATCAGGTTGGTAGGTTTGGTAGAAAATGAAAATACTAATGGGAAGAGGGGATCATTTTGAGAATATCCTAATGGCAAGTAAATCAGGAGGATCCATCGAACTTCAAGAATTTGAAGTTTAGAATTCTTGAAGAAGCCAGTAATAAGTTCATTAAATTTGACAGCATGTATCATATTTCCTCAAACCTCATGAATATTAAAACGAGGTAATAAGAATATGTAGAATTCTTTGCACGGAAAATTTGGATCCAATAAAAGAATGCACAACTTCAAGCAAGTTGGGGAACGGATGATACAAACTACAATGGAATACACTATCTGTATAGGCAAACAACAATTGTTGAACTTCACCAATTCATTCACTTGAGACAGAGAAAAGAGGTAAATGTTTATAATGAAAAGCAAAATTTGTACATTATTGTCAATTAGGAAGGTGGAATTTTGGTTTGGTACACAGATTGCACTCTGGATTCCAACAAAGCTACATATTTATCAAGCATAGAGACCACAGCTTCAAATTCAGTCACTTGCTTCTCTATGGCATCAATCTGCTCAACATACTCATTAAAGCTACCACTCTTGCATTTCAACTGCTCCACAAAAACCCTCAACCCTGAAGCCAAATCACCAAACCCTTTGTACTCTTCTGCTACCCTCACATTCATCTTCTCCAACAGCTCGAGATGATTATTAGTCCCCTAACACACAAAATCATTGTAAATTTTAGTAAATAAATAAAAAAATTTAATTGATTTGCAAACAATGCCCCATTTCAATTAACCCCAAGTTCCATCGAACTGATGAGAATTAGGTTTTCAGAGAGGGAAGGATAAAGAATGGGGGGTTTCACCTGAAGCTCTGACTTGATCATGGTGGAAACACTGCCGAAGAGGTCATTGAGCGATTCAGCGAGTTCATCATGCTTCTGATCTTGGGGTTCATCTTTCTTGACAGTATCCATGGTTAGAGCCTTGGTTATTACAATATAATTGACTAACTCACAAGGGAAGGGTGGTAATAACAGTGAGATTCAAGACGACAATCTAACCAATTGTTGTTTCTCAGGTCCAAACTGCAGTCATTTTGAAAAAGAAAAACAATAACTTAATTTCAAGCTCAGAAATCAAACCCTAATTCAGTCTTCTAGTATATTAGATGTGTGACTCGGCTTATTGAGGGCATTGGTACTTGAGACCACTACTCTACTGTGCTGCCATCATCTTCCTATTCCCCCCTCTGGAAGTATAATCAAGTAAACAAGATATATCAAATATAGGTAAAAAAAAGACAACAACAATGGAAGAAGGATAGTGAAAAGTACATCAACAATTAAATCATACCACATAATCCAATACAAACTGTCCCTACTCCCATGTCTTTTATAGCCTTCAGTAACCAATATGAATATGAGATGTTCATAAAGCTGATGATGAACTTTTACTATTTGCAATTGTGATAATGAAACTGATGAACTTTAAAGGGGGCGAACCGGAGCAGTAGTAAAACTGTTCATTCATGACTGAAAGGTCATAGGTTCGAATCTAGGAAACAGCCTCTTTACAATTATGCAAGGCTAAGGCTACGTACAAGAATTTCTTCCACCCCACACTCGCTAGTCAGATTTAACTGGGAGTGGTTTTGTGGTTTATAATTATGATAATAAAACAGGTAAAAATTCACTAGGTTTGTACAGTTGCCTTATGACACCTTTGGCAGAAAAATCTCCAGAGTATGAGCAGCAAATGCCCAAGTACTAAAGCCAAAATATCTGAATAGCACGACTGTCAGACATTAAGAAGCCTACAATACTGTGTGCTTTAAGACTATTAGCTAACTTAATAAATCATTACAATGAAAGCATTCTAATTTCCAAGACGATATTCAGAAAGATCTCTCATCATTGTGTGTATAAGTAACCTTTCTATGCATCTCACCACTTTGCTAGCAAGCACTAACTAAGTTCAGCAAACAATGCCATCATTTTGTATTTTGGGAAATTGAACAAAGGAAAAGAAAAAAAGATAATATATATATAACAAAATAAATAGATAAATCAATAAATAAAAACAGAGAAAAATTATATCCCCAAAAAACAAGCCAGTAATTAGAATCATCAGAGATGAAAAACTGTAACTCAAACAAAAAAAAAAAATCAAACAAATTCAAAAAAAATCACTCTGATTCAGTTCAATTACCGAATCACAAGCTTCTCTTCAAATCAGTAGCTCAGAGAACCAAACGAATTACAAACCTATTATAAAAAACTAAGTGAAATTCAGTTTAAATAGATCTCAGAAATGAATGAACAAACAAACAAGAAATTCAATAACTCTCACCAAAATGATAATGGATTATACTGTGACGTCGTAGCGATTTGGAAAGGGTCACAACTCACCACATCGTCTGTGGTATCTTGATGCGGTGCAACGCAAGGAAATGAACAACAAACGAAACGACACCGTTATTGACATGGAATGTAAGCCTATTTGTGTTGGTTTTACTTTTACCCCAATTTCGTTAATTCAGTTTTGTTTATTATTTTTTATTTTGAGCCAGGATCCTTTGACACCGGTGTCAAAGGAAAAGTTTGACACCTCATTTGAGAGCCATTAGATTAAAAAAAATCAATGGTGTCACATGCTTACAAATCAGAATCGTTGATTTTTTTTAATCTAACGGCTCTCAGATGAGGTGTCAAACTTTTCCTTTGACACCGGTGTCAAAGGATCCTTTCTCTTTTATTTTTGTATATTACTAATATTTTTCTCAATCATAAGTTCATAACCCCATTGAATTTCCCAACAAAAAAAAGTTGCATGTGATGATAAGAATCAACGATATGGAATTGCCAAATAATAATCCTTTTCTATAATAGAATAAATTTTTCGCTCTTTTTTCAGAAATAAATTATTTGAAATTTCAAGTTTAATTTTTACATGTAGTTAACGTTAACTATTAAACAAAATTTCTTCAATATTTACAAGTATAAATATGAGAATAAATCTTCTCATATCTCATTTTGATCTGGATAACACATAAGCACAATACTTCATTGCCCAGAAAGAACACATAGAGCATTGTGTAGACTATCATGTAAAGCCGCCTTATAAAACTTAAAGACTAAGGAAAGTCATGGTAACAGCTGAGGTCCACCGTGCATAAGGGCTAACACGGGAGAGACAACTCCAGCTTGCCACTACTCTAAGAAAACAGGCTAGTTTTAGACTTGTTTATCAAGGAAATAGCGAGAAAGGCAGCAACTGTGACAGAAGGGCAGCCACCTTGATTTACCAATAAGAATAGACGCCGCCTACAAAGGACGACACAAGGCACACTATAAATACAGAGGAATTAATCAGAGGTACATCCATCTCTCAATTAGAAATATATACACCTTTCATTAATATTGACTTGAGCATCGAAATTGCGCCAGAATCTCAACATCACCTATCCAAGGAGAAGCACATTCCACCATAGTTTCGAGCTAACTTGCTACAGTTCTAAGGTTCATAGTCTTCAACCTTCAACCGTGTGTGATTTGATCCATCTTGTCTTGGACCGGTCAAATCACATTTTAATATGATTACTTAATTTAAGAAGATTCCAGTCATCTATAACTTTTAATAATAGATCGACAATAAGCATCACGTTAAGAGTAACATGATGTTTTGAGAATTGATTTGTCATTCAAAATTATAGATGTTTAACACAAACATCATACTTATATTGATGTACGAGATATTCAAATCAAATCGGGTTGCAATTACAATTATCAAAATGGTTGCAATTACAATTATCAAAATCTGCAAGGGGGTTTTGAATTCAGCAATGTGCATTCTAATTGTTAAATCATGAACAATTCAAATTGTATAGGAGCAGAATATTAATGTGACAACGGAAAAATGCGTTGAAGATCGTTCATGAGTGAAATATAACGAGAAAGGGTGGAGAAAATAGTAGCATGGATGATGTCTTCCCATTCAAGCATCTCGAGTCTTCTTTTTCTTTTATCTATAACTATGCATCTGAATTTCAATCTTACAAGATTTTAAATCTTAATTCGCTTTATTTTGTATCTAAGGATGTAGTGGGGTAATATGGATTCTGGATTGTTTACTTAATACAATTTCAGCTTACACGGTTCTGCTTTATTGAGTTACTTCAGTGCATGGTTCTCATGTTATTTTATCTAGTAGCTACTATTATGGTTTACTTTATTATTATTAAAGTCAATAGATCTCTGGTTTACAAGTTCATGTTTTAGCTGAATTGGTAACATATGTGCCGAAATTCAAGCCATTAGCAAATGTTCAAGAAAAGAAAAATGAAAAATAATTTGAAAAGAAAAAAAAATGAGCTAAAGCCTACCGTTATAAAATTTAATATGGTTGGCAAAACCAAAATACAACAAATATTACATCCTACAAAATTTACATCACAATATCCATGTGAATAAGCTTATGTGACACTGGAATTTGCATGCCCTTAGAATTTATAAATTATCTAAACACCATATTGAATAAGCACGTCGTGCCTTGTATGAAAAGGTGTCTCATCAAATCCACATGCTTCCAAAGGCTTCTTCAAGTGCCCTCTTCCTGCTTAATTCTAGACTCCATCCTCCAGCCCTTGCTCCTCTCTCAGCTCGAAGCCGCATTGTTTCCTCATCATCACCTGCATAGCCCAGCATGTCACCCCCTCCAAGTGGTAAAGGTTGTGGGGCCATACCTGTAGGTCTAGGCTGTCCTGGAAATGTAGGTGCATATTGTCCCTGAGGGACAGCACCAAGCCCTGCTTGAGAGTTTTGGTTTGAAGCCTGTTTCAAGAGATTTGAGGAAATTAATCTGTTGCATGTATTATATTCTGTAAATCTTTTGCTCCATGACTAAGCTGCACAAACTAGATATTCAAACAAAATGAAGAAAACCCTTTAGTTTGCAAATTAGCACATAATGGCTGAGTCAAACGCAGTTAAATACCAACCAAATAAAAATACTGAAAAAAAGAGTAAGGTTTAAAGCAAAAGTTTTGTTGGTACTAAATACTAATCGTTGAAATAGGTTTCAAGGATCAAAATTTTAACCATACTCCCAAGTCAGACTTGTTACCAAAGTCTCACGTTAAAACTCACACAGCTGGTATCCCACAACTACTAGCAAACTATATGTTAACTATATAAATTATGATTTTAGACAACTTACAAGAATACACTTATACACACACATATTACATATATATAGGCGAGCTGACATGCAAAATTAAATTTATGTTTCCATAATTTGATTAGAGTCGTGAGAGCGAGCCTTGGAGCAGCGGTAAGGCTGCTCCTTGTGACTGGAAGGTCACGGACTCAAGGGTTCATGTCTGGAAAACAATCTCTTTGCAAAATTACAAGGATAAGGCTGCATATAATCAACCCTCACCTCTATTCTCACAAGTCGTGGAGCCTTGAACGATGGGGTTTGCCCTTTTAATTTGATCAAAGTATCATTTTCATGAGAAATGAAAAAAACCAGCAAGAGCAACCAAAGCAGGACATACTAGAAACCTAATCAGTGAGACCATAATTCCATGTACAGTGAATCTCAATTTTCAGAGTTCCTGCATACAGAAGGAAAACTCTGCAACCTTACTCAGACAACTTATTTATGGCATCCCATCTGCTCCAAAATGCTCCTCAAATGTACCATCAACCATTCAATACTTCATTTTAACTCTCAACGTCATAGAGCTTGCTAAGGATGATAATATTGGTGCATTTTCTCTGTCTTTCTTAACAACTACAAGTGTTTAATCAGGACTTATTTATTTATTTGGGGTTTCAGTGATTTATATTTTTTTTCCTGAGAAATGTTGATCAAAAGGCCACCAAATGCCTGAATTAAGCAAAAATAAATAACGATTTTCACATATAAAACAGAGGAAGTAGTTGTATCAATAACCTTTACATGCTTGTAAAATATAAATGCTAATAGAGGAAGTAACATGATAAAACCGAATAAAATCAATCTCAAATAATAGATCAAGCTCAATTAGGTACGACAAACTGTACCAAAAGAGTAAAGTAATCAATGAATAAAAATAGCAGTCTAGAGCTCACCACATCATTATCAGTTTGTGCAGGTTGTCCCCTACTTGCTGTCAGAGCTGCAGCTAATTCTTCAGCCTGTTTAATTATTATCAGCATAAAAATAACATTAAGAAAATGGTAGGAAATCCATATTTGCAAAACAAACTTAAAAGTTTACTATTCTTGTGATTAAGGAGTGATGTCCTGAAAAACATTCATGTGATTCTGCAAATTACAGAGACTTATAATGGGCGTATGTGGAAGGGACGGAACCAATGAATACTCCATTCTCAGAAGTACCTTTCGGGCTCGATTAATCATTATTTGTTCTGCATTTTCTTCCTGGTATTTAGCAATTTTTGCTTCAATAGCAGAAACATCTATTCCTTCAATCAAGTTAAATGCTGCAAATGGGAAAAGGGAAAACAAAATCAAAATAAAGCACAAACTATCAAGTGAAACAATTATACTCATGATAATAGAAGCTTACTCATGTCCTCTACTTCCTCCAAGTAATCATTGTATTCTTTCAAAGATGGGAAATCATCTTCACGTTTATTGAATCTACAAAATTTAAGTTAATAGTAAGCAGAAATGTATAGCTGAATAAATTTAATATAACACGACCCTCTACACAGTGAGAATTGAAATGTTGAATATGGCGGCATGTTACTTATTTCTTTTCCATAAAATGTCTGAATCTAATAAAGACCTTCAAAACAATGAAAAAAATCAAATTCTTAGTATGTTATATCTATAATCTATCCAACTATGAACTCTAAACATGATTGATTTTAAGATTGGGCGGCTTAGCTCTTCGAAGAAAGTAAAAAGCTTCTGCTTTTATGCCAATTCCCCTGCTCCTCCTTTCCCACCCACTTAACTAACCAGAATAACTAAGCATATGGTCCAATTAGTTCCATGATTAGCCCCTTCAGCAATGAACCAACATGTATTCTGTAAACTTTTACAGGTTTTTTAATTATATTTGATAGATTTACTTCAAATCACTTTACATGAAAATTGGTAGTGAAAAAGTGCAGCCAGCCATATGATAAGCACCATTGACCATACTAACCACAAAAAAAAGAAAATGAAAGAATCTAAAACGATAAGTCGATAACTAAACTAACAAAATATCACCCAAAAAAAGTGACACTGCAGTAATGTAACTAATTAATTTCACTAACCATTGCAACTTAAATAATGAGAATGAAAAATGAAAGATAATTTATAATGAAAATTCTGCAGAATCATATTAGTCTAAAATGCATTTGCATTATTTTCATATTACAAATTGAAACCCCAAACAAAAAAACAAAAAAAATCTAGTGTTTCCCATGTTACATATATGAAACAAACAAGGAAGATACATTGAGATAGAAAAAAAAATAATAATAATAATAATAGCAATTACATGCTAGCAATCCTTCTCCTGATTGCTATCTCCTTATTGTGAGGATTGGTACTGGAAACCACCATTCTGCTACCGTCAACTTCCGGTTTCCCCTTCTTCTTTTTCTCTCACCTGAATTATTTCTTTAAGCATTCAGAAAGTTAAAAATGAAAATAATGAATGAGAAACACTTTTTTCTGTTTATGAAATCATGAGAATTTAGTGATTAATAAAATGCGACGGAAAACATAATCAAGTAAATACGATATATTAAATCTAGGTTAAGAAGAAAAGCTCACCGCGAGAAGATTGATAACGGAAGAGGCGAAAGTCGCATGAATAGCAACAGAGCCGACGGCGGGCGAAGCCTTCGACGGAGATTGTTGCAGCCTCCAACCCTTACTCTGAAACTGAAAATTTTTCCTGTTAAAATTCTAAGCTTATTATTACAGTTCTTACGTCATATATTTCTTTTTTATTTAATTATTCTTAAAAATAGATTTTCTTAAAAAAAAATCATAATACTATTTTTTATTTTTTTACATCTAGAAATCATGCTTATAGTGTTTATATATTGGGTTTATTGTTTTTCCTTTTTTTTCTAATAAAGAGTCACATATATCGTACTTTTCTATTGAGGTGGCAAAATGGGTTGGCACACCCTTCCCCGTCTCTTTAATATGGATTGAAAACTCCAATCCGTCTCGTTTTATGTTGGATTGTAGGGTCAATCCGCTTAAAAAACAAAAAATAATTAAAAATTAAAAATAAATTATATTTTATTAATTTTATAATATTACTTATTTGCATATCACGCTCACTTTAATATTTTTTTCAATAAATGTATGTTAATATTTAGTCGGACATTCTTTACGAACTTTTTTTGTCTCCATATATAGATTATCTTTGTCAAAAATAAAGTTTTTTTTTTTATAAGAGTACTAAGATAAAAAAAAAATTGAATATCACAAAAGCTCAAAGACAAATAAAATAATACTTAATAATAATAAAAAAATAACTCGCGCGGGCTAATCCACCGCCAACACATTTTGCTTCACAACCCGACGGAGCGGATTCAGGCAGGTTAGTGGGTTGAAATGTGTAACCTAACTTGTCCTGTTTTGGCGGGTTGATCCATCGGATTCAATCTATATTATTATTTCTACTTTTATGTGCATATAAGAAATAAATTTATCTCTTATAATATGAGAAATATTAACTCCTTATATATTTGACAGATTAAGTTTAAGAAATTAAGTCTAATTATTATTGTTGATTGTTGAATATTTAAATACGGGGAATGATCGGTTTACAAATTTTTTTTACAAATTACACTAAGTATGACCAGTCATATAATCTTGATTGGAGTATAACTGATCATACTTAGTATAGTTTGTAAATATAACTTTCCCTTTTAAATACAAGGAGCATACATGTTTAATGTATTTAATTTTTTGTTTTGTTAATAGTCACCCTACTTTATTTATGCGATACCAATACGGCCAATGCCATTCTCACATTTCTTTGATTTTCTTTTTGACATGTTACTTTGTACGCGATGGTATACTTAAATAAAATTTCAAAGTATTTAATTGGAAAAGCATAAAACTTTAAAACAAAATATTTAAGAATTTAATTGTATATATTATTAGTTGTTCTGGACCTGGACCTGCCACATCAGCTTGGTACCATGAGCCTTCCATTAAGACTCATTCAGTGATTTCCATGTCAATCTTATATCAGTTGAGTGACCTTGATTGCTTTGTCATTTTCCATGGTCTAGCCTGTTTCATTAAACATACAATGAACAAGAAGTGATTGGCTCAGTTAGGCAGCTTGATGGGCTATACATCCTTGAGAGCAATCGAATTTCTAACCAAAACCTGTTACCTGCAACACCGCAAACACTGATGCTGCTCTACTATAGCATTTGAGACTCAAACATCCTTTCTATGAAACTCATGTATGCCTAATTCCCTTTTATTTCTTGTAACAATGTTGAACCTTGTGAAGCATGCCATTTTTCAAGGCAAAGAAAACTTACTTTTCTACCTAGCATTACCAAGTTTGCAAATCCTTTTGATTTACTTCATGCTTATTGTTCAGTCTTATTGAATCGTATAAAAATACCTTATGGATATATGCTTAGAGATATCTAAAAGATAGATATCCGATTGACTTATAGCCAATACTTCAATCATTGTGTACTATCAAAGGGCATGTAGCAAGACGTGAATGTACACATTGTTGGCAATAATAGTAAATAGGTTAAAAGTATGTACCTGCAATCTTTAACTTCTTATTTATAAGGATTACTTTCGTAGGCTTGGGCCTTTGAGATCTCCCAGTTGATATGAAATCTTCCTTGATTAATGGGGATAGGGATCTTATCCTTGATCCTCTCTCTCTAGGTTATATGGTTGTGATATTCATATTCAATTTTGCTAGTAATAAAGTTATTAGAATATGGATTCATTCCATAACACTGATATTTGGAGCCATATGCCACTCCATCAATCCATGGATATCGATATTTCTTTACTATTGTAGATGATTTCAGTAGGTTCACTTGGATTGTCCTCATGAAATCCAAAACAGAAACACAATCTCACCTACAAAACCTTATAGCCTTCATTGAAAACCAGTTCCACAGTTTAGTATAAACTATTTAGGAGTGACAATGGCACTGAATTTTTCATGAAAAATTTCTTTCACACCAAAGACATAGTACACCAGACCACATGTATTGAAAGTCCCCAAACATCTGTAGGAAATCTTAGATTTATGCGGAAGCGGTTTAGGACCTAGTACATTGGTATGCTTACCGAATCATCCTTGTTTCACAATTACCTCTCGGTGCGCAGGTGTCGTGTAGAATCTTCCCTTGTAGGATTCCTCTTCACGAACAGCTCACCTCAGCGCCGCAACACGAACAACCTCCTTGAAGCTGGACTGTGGCAGATCTTCCAGACTATCTCTCGAGGAGGATGAGATGGTTGTGTGGGCAACCGTTCAGATGATGAACGTCTGCCTCTTGGGGTTTGTTTCTGATGATCTATTCACCTTGGAGGCACAAGAGGAGAAAACTATGAATATATACGCTTAGGTCTTAGACATAACTCAACCCTAAGCCTCATGGGCTCAAGTTTCACTGAAGCCCAATAGGACTTTAGTGACCAAAAGAGCATATATCCAACAATCTCCCACTTGCTCTTTAAGATACAAACTTGAGTTCGTAAACCCAAGACCATGTAACCCATAAGCTATCATCATCTGATAATATACCTCATCCCTTGTCTCGAGCTAGCCTGGGGACCTACCATTTGTCATTGATCAAGGCTCCTGATAATCTTTACAAGATTATCTAATTCGGTGCTACTCCACGAAAAGCCCGAACGTGAACTCCAAGATTAATGACCTTTATAACATTAATATGCATTGCCCCTTTATAGAATGTCTATAATTCATTGATTAGTTTTCTGTAACCCAATCAATTATTTATTCCCTTGACTTTGATAATTTCTCTAATGGATTACATGCACTGGCCAGTGTCTTTAATATCCAAGTACCGAAATATATCAAGGGGACATTTCCTATAAATTCCTTGTTGTTTATCTCATAAATACTGATAATCAAATAATCTCACTCCCAAAACACCGAGTTATTGGCCGTCAAAAGATCGGACCTCACCCGTTGGTAAATCAAAGAATGAAAACTATTTGATTACCTATTTATAATAAACTCAGGATTAAGAGCAATCACATAGCTATAGTTAACTGGAGATTTGATACCTTATGACAGAAAAACAACCTTAATCAAATCTCTCCTTGATCCTTTCAATGTGAATGTTAATTCACACCAATATTTTACAATGATTCGGACAAAATCACTTCATAAAATATTGTAGCCTGAATGAAGTGCCCAACTTTATTTAATGGCTGTGACTCCATTCATCAATTGTGAGATCCTATGAGCATGTCCTCCATGAACGTATCCATATGATCATATACTCCACAATTTGATCCGGACCTTTATGTTTGTAAATAGTGCGCAAAATAAATAAATAAAATCTTATTTAAGAAATTCAGAAAATTATTTTATTGTTTCATCGTCTTACTCCAAGAGCACAATGAAACCAATAACTCCCACTTGCTTAATGCAAGTCTGGGATCCTCCTAAGACCCAAAGAAGTAACATGCCTCTCGAACACAAGTTCAGGCAAACTCTTAGTAACTGGGTCTGCAAGATCCACCTCTAATGTTATCTGAGTTTAGTGAAAAATTCATAGCTCGAGGTTGATTTTCTTGAGTCAATATCCACTTGAAATAACTGAATTTTTGAAAACTTAGCTTTTCAAGACTCCCAACCAGCATATAATCTCTCGTTCTCCAAAGATACTTGAGTACATGCTTAACAATAATTTAGTATTCCTCTAGGTTCAAAATGGTACTATCTCACTACTCTCACTGCGTGACAGATGTCTGGTTTAACGCCCAACATGATATGCGTGAGTCTACCTTTGCCAAAGCATAAGATATCTTGCTCATGCATTCTTCCTTCTTAGAAGTCTTTGGTCACTCCTTAGGAAGATGAATTTCACATCTGAGAATTATAATTCTTCTCTTAGAATTCTCATGTTGAATTTTGGGTTTTGTCAATGTAAGTAGCCTGAGGTGATGCCAACAACTTATTCTTCCGGTCTCATAAGAGTTTTATATCAAGAATATAATTGGCTTCCCCAGTACTTCCATACCAAAACACTAACTTAGCCAACTCTTTATGCTTGATATTACCTCCACATTGTTTCTAATAAGGAGCATATCATCTACATAAAGTACCAGAAAAGCTACTGTCTTCCGTTGTATCCTTTACATACAAATACACATCATTCATCAAGGTTCTCTCAAAATCAAAATTTTGATAACCTGATCAAAACTGATGTTTCAAGACCTGGATGCTTGCTTAAGTCTATGAAATAGACTTTCACAACTTGCATACCGTGTGTTCCTACTCATTTGCTATAAACCCTTTTGGTTGTTGTATGTAGATATCCTGACATCCAACTCCCAAAATGAAATCTCATAATTGAGACTTATAGCAACTAAGAGAATCTGGATAGACTCAAGCATGGCGTCTGGCAAAAAATGCCTCCAAGCTAGCTTTGAAGGTTTTCACCTTTCTGTCCATCCTCTCTTTGCCTTTTATGTCCACATGCACCTTGTGGGTTTTACCCCTCTTGGTGTATTTACTAGGACCGAACGGAGTTGAAATACAAGTATTTCATCTCATTGTTCATAGCGTGAGCAACACTTGATCAACAACATCTTCTAGTGTATTATCGTAACTAGTAGGATCAATATCACTCAACAAGAGACAACTTGAGAGTTAACAAGGTTCTCTCCCACTACGAATGTACTGCACTAG